CACCACTGAGAGACTAGCAACATATAACTAATGAGCTTAGTGGCTTCTTAACTACTCCATTGACCTAATTAACAGAAAAGTAGAACTGCTTATGTGTAGGTAGAGGAAATATTAGGACTAATCGCTCCCCTCAACATATCAAATACAAATGATTGAATTAGATAATTATCAAATAGTTCTCATATGATTGTCCTATAACAAACCTAATAGGTTGTGGGTCAGTACTATTCATAAAGTAAAGGCCAACGGGGCTCCAGGTCGGGACATCTGGTAGAATGCTTGGCCTATTGCACCGGAAGCAACACCCCAAGGGTGAGCTTCTGGCGGTTACCTTCTAACACTAGATAATAGGCATTAGACATTTTGAGCTGAAAGAAGGCAAACACCAAATCAAGGGTCCTCTCAACATTTCAATCCTAATACTCGAGATAAATTTTATACCATCTACCACCTCGAGTCAGTATTAACTCATGTTATAAGAGCAGACCATATAACTTGATCCAACCATGATATTAAGTTATCATTGAACTAACTAAATCAAATCCTACCCTCTAATACTGGAACCAACCAATGGGTTTTGGTTCAATGGTACTCCTTACCTTGTAAAGAATTTACTTTTTTAAAGTCAAGGGTTCAAGCTCCATTCCCTCCTCCTCCTCCTCCTCCCCCCGAAAAAAAAAAATACTGGAACCAAACATGCCTAAGTGATTGCAGTCTTTGTCATTTGGTAAGTGAGATAAACACTATCGCTTCATCATGACTAGATACTTTTGAATTAGATAATTCTTTCCCCCATAAGAATATTATCATACAAGCTTCCCTGGCTGTGAAAATGAAAATTAAATATGTAATTTCAACACCATAGAGTCAAAAGTTTATATCATGGGTGCTAAAACCACATAAACACTTCCATCTTTATCTCCACCAGATTTTCTATAAGACGATTCGGCACTAAGTGATTCTCATGAGTCTGTATATTATATAAAGTAGCAACTAAAATATCTTCCACCCTTTCCACCTTTGTCACATAATCAAAAATTTAATGAGTTCAGAATGAAAGGTGGTTAGTGGTNGTAAAGCTTGAAGGTTGGCCCTGATGGTGACCTCCATTCAAAACAAATTTGAGAAAGTCATCTTCATTACCTTAAATAGCAGAACCTAACAAGTGAATTATTGTCATTAGTATATATGAAATCTCACCACTGAGAGACTAGCAACATATAACTAATGAGCTTAGTGGCTTCTTAACTACTCCATTGACCTAATTAACAGAAAAGTAGAACTGCTTATGTGTAGGTAGAGGAAATATTAGGACTAATCGCTCCCCTCAACATATCAAATACAAATGATTGAATTAGATAATTATCAAATAGTTCTCATATGATTGTCCTATAACAAACCTAATAGGTTGTGGGTCAGTACTATTCATAAAGTAAAGGCCAACGGGGCTCCAGGTCGGGACATCTGGTAGAATGCTTGGCCTATTGCACCGGAAGCAACACCCCAAGGGTGAGCTTCTGGCGGTTACCTTCTAACACTAGATAATAGGCATTAGACATTTTGAGCTGAAAGAAGGCAAACACCAAATCAAGGGTCCTCTCAACATTTCAATCCTAATACTCGAGATAAATTTTATACCATCTACCACCTCGAGTCAGTATTAACTCATGTTATAAGAGCAGACCATATAACTTGATCCAACCATGATATTAAGTTATCATTGAACTAACTAAATCAAATCCTACCCTCTAATACTGGAACCAACCAATGGGTTTTGGTTCAATGGTACTCCTTACCTTGTAAAGAATTTACTTTTTTAAAGTCAAGGGTTCAAGCTCCATTCCCTCCTCCTCCTCCTCCTCCCCCCGAAAAAAAAAAATACTGGAACCAAACATGCCTAAGTGATTGCAGTCTTTGTCATTTGGTAAGTGAGATAAACACTATCGCTTCATCATGACTAGATACTTTTGAATTAGATAATTCTTTCCCCCATAAGAATATTATCATACAAGCTTCCCTGGCTGTGAAAATGAAAATTAAATATGTAATTTCAACACCATAGAGTCAAAAGTTTATATCATGGGTGCTAAAACCACATAAACACTTCCATCTTTATCTCCACCAGATTTTCTATAAGACGATTCGGCACTAAGTGATTCTCATGAGTCTGTATATTATATAAAGTAGCAACTAAAATATCTTCCACCCTTTCCACCTTTGTCACATAATCAAAAATTTAATGAGTTCAGAATGAAAGGTGGTTAGTGGTAGCAGCAAACAGCCAACTGCAAGCATGTACAAAATTTGGGACTCTGCAAAGAATGCACAAAAAATTCCCTTGATCCAAAATGGCTCAAGTGTTATCAAAGGTCAAAACCCCGAGGAGAATCAGATTTCTAAAGTATGTTAAACAACAATATAAGAAGCTATAGGACACTGTTAGAGCTTCCAATCCAAAACCAATTCGAAGTGGGTATAGAAACCCCTTAAGCATATAAACTAACCTTATGTGGTCATAATCATTTGGTGTAGATGCATGACGAAAATTTCAAATGGTTAAACCACCTAATGTTCATCTTCGATATCAAGTTAGAGCATCCAATCCAAAAACAAATTGACAATGAGTGAAGAGGCCCCTTAAGCATATACCCCAACCTTAAGTGGTTCTAATCATTCAATGTGGGAGATAAACTCTATACATAGTGACAAACCAAATTTGTGAACAAATTGAGCTTCATCAAAACAAAGCAAACTTATGTGAAGATTGGCAAAAGCATTTTCTCTAAGAAGAAGATAACAAAATGAACTTCCACAAAACAAAGAAAACTTATGTTAAGATTGGTAAAAGCATTTACTGTAAGAAGAATAACAGAACAGTTTAAAATGTTTTTAAATTTACACAGATCCGCAACTAGATGTACTTTAATATTTGTCTTTAACTTTATCCTCAGGAAAGAATCAGAGAACTAATGTTTTGTTTTGCCTCGAGCACACTGTGTATGACATCTTGTGTGATCTAACTTCTTGTGCTATTCCCACAGAATTATTCATCACTAAATACAACTCATGCAGCACCAATTTCAACGCAAGAACTCTTAATCCGGAAGAATTCTATGATACCAAAAAAAAATCAGTACCATACAACCATGTGCAAATTTTTAAGAGTTTCTGTACATTTTTTTAGGTTATAATTCAATTACAACTTTTGGGATTTTTGTGATCTATCTTAAAAATTTATGATCGATTCTTGACCCCCCAAAAGTTGTAATTATGTAGGATCGATAAAATGTTTTGTGATTGATCCTAATTTTTTTTTTGTTGTAACCAGATACTAAAATCTTGTACCTTAACCCACAAAACGTATAAACTTTGTACAATCCCTCATTCGATAACGAACTCAAATCAGATGCAAATTTTTAGCCTACAAACTTTATATATGTAAGAGAACCACAATCGTGCAGGCCTCTGTATTATGTACTTATAGAGCACTGCTTTAAATTACATCATCTGTGGTAATTAAGACTTCATCAGAATAAATTTGGATTCTGAAATATCTAACTAGAACTATAGTTTCCTTAGTTATATATTTTCCAATCAATTGCAGTTGATATTGTCACCGCTATATGTCTATCTATAAACTTGTAGAAGGTATGTCCATATTGAACCGGTTCTTTAGAAGCTTTAAAAGCTTTCTTGTACAGGCACTATACAATATAAATATAGTATTTCACCCCCTCTTTGGCACACAAACAAAACAACACAATACAATACTTAAAGAGCAAAGTACAAGGCAGAAGCAGAATGTTAGGAAATTACCCAAAACAGTGACTTTAGAAGCCTCTTCTTGTTGCCCAGTCTCTTTTCAGGAACACAATGAAAGCCTCTTCTTGTTGCCCAGTCTCTTCTCAGGAACACAATGAAGGCTATAGAGATTAGAGATGATGTAGGCACAATGTCACCAGATATTTCCCTAATTTGTGCCTGAGGAGGTCCCTGATTTTCGGTGTAACAATGGAAGTGTTTTGTGAACCGAACAGTCAGATGGATAGTTTTCTACCAGAAGCAACCACGCAGCTCAGGACTTTGTTTTTTCTCTTTAACAAGAAAATATAAGAATAAGATAAGATTTCGGAAAAGCATAAAATTTGGACTGGTTAGGATAATATTTTCCCCTTTTGGAAGATGCTGTAGCTAGGAATGGCCTTTTAAGAAGGATTTAAAGCTAATTTCCAATAATTTCAAATGCTTAAGCTATGTTCAGATTTCTCGGATAAAATCAATAATGGCTTGCTCAACTTCAAGATACAACTAAACGTGGCACTTAACCGTAAAGTCAATGTATTCATGGTTATATACATCTGACCTGGTTGAAGAATTATGGGCAGGGGAAGGGTGTCCCCATTGTGTACCCCATCTATCTTATTGGACACTTGGAAAAAAAAAAATCAGAAAAGAACCTCTGTCTTCAGAATCCAATTTCCTAGCAGATTTTCACAAAGTTTTCTAATATGTCAGAAGTTGAGCTCTTCAACTGGTTTGACTTGTATAAAAGGCCAATTCATTACATATCTCTATTTTGATTGAAACTACATAGGCAAAACGAACACAGCAGATAATTGCTTAGGAGAGCATTAGTGTCCAATTTTTGTTGAAATTTGAATGCAAAATATCACTAGGACTGGATTTTCCATATCATACTGCTTTAGCAAGTCAAACAGCATTTTCATATCTATATGAAGATGACAGATTAAAATTTTAGTCTGCCATAGTCATTTATCACTAGAGGCCACTTCAAGTTGTCTTTCTGAGAAGTGAAAAGCAAAATCCTTAAGGAAGCAATTTACAGAAAGACATAGTAAATTCTACAAGAACATTTCACTAATAATTTCAGAAGAAATGACAATAAAACAACAGTCTAGATCTTGAAAACTTAAATGATTGACAAAGAAAACAAATTTGACCAAAAAAACCACATCATATTTGATTCCAATACGACTTGCCTAACAACATTAAAACAGAACTTAATATGAAAAAACACTAAGACAGACAGCTTTCTGCTTACTGTCAATAAAGCACCAATTAACTACAAATTCAAATGAAAATGAAAAGTTGACTAACAACAGCGAAACCACTGGTTTGAGTTGAATCTTCACAAAGCCATACGAGCAAAATAGAAAGTCATACACAAATTTCAATACAATAAAAAAATTAAAATAACAAGAACAATTCTGAACCCCATTTTATATTACAAATGACAATGCCATTTCAAAATTGTTTTCTGCTAATTTGCTTCTCTTTGTATAAATGAAGGAGCAGGTGGTGTCATAGTTTCATTCTTACCTCTCATATGAGATTCTTCTTCAACTGAAGGAAGCTGCCTACCTGGACCATAATATTCTTCTACAAATCTGCTTGGACTTGGAGAGTCAGCTTTCAGTATCCGGGATGGAGAGAAGTTGTTCCTCAGAGGGGAACTTGGGTCGGATCTATATTGTAGTTCTGCATCTTCGCGAGGCAAAGGTGAAACTGGTGACTGGCCACATTCATCCACTTGTTTCCTGTATAACTTATCCTCCACAATATCATAGGAATTCCCAGTCCGAACTTCCTGAGCAAGTGAACACCAACAGCAGAAAAGCCATAGTGCACAATCACTAACAGATGGTTTACCACAACAGAAACTATATGTTGGCAAATTGAATCTCTTCCTCATTTGCATCCTCCAGTAGCCACCATAGAGTAAACCAAACACACAAAGGAAAATCCCAGAAATCCCCAGTAACTCCCTGACAGACTCATTATTAATATTGATTGCAGCCAAATTGAAAATCCAAAATGGAGCCATACAAAACAGAAGAAAAGTAGCGATATGAACATACATGTTCCCAAACCCAAGCCTCTCCATGTTCCACCCAAAAACACAAAAACTACAAAATAATGACAGATATGCTAGAGAGATATCATCCCAAAAATCAAGTATTCCACCGCTCCACATTGGTCTATGCTCCACAATCCTCTCTTCATCCTTGGACGCAAAGGAGAATCTCTTCTGTGAGGAATTCACCCTTAACTGGCTTGGCCGGCTAGTTTCAGTGTCAGTAATCTGAACATGTGCTTCGTCATCCATTTCAGAATCATAATCTCTCCCAAGGGGACTAACAATGGTGTAAACACCAGCAATTGCAGGAGCAGCAATTGCAACAGAGATAGTGATAGCAACCCCAATCGCGGGCCGCTCTGATCTCTTGTATCCTAAATTAAGGCCACACAAAGCATATTGTGCGAAACAGTTGAGATGCAGCAGAGAAATAACAACCATCATGTGTGCCCATTCGTTGGGCTTGTATGTCCCATTCTTGCAGTAAACTTTTCTGAGTTTGGAAATGTCTCCTGGCCTCCATCTCAACAGAAGTACTAGGTGATAAAACCGCTTTGGGTGTTGGTACAAACACATGAGAGTAAATAGTGCATTGAGGATTTGATTATTAACTTCAAACCAGGCATCTCTCTGGGACTTTTTTGGCAGGGCATGGTTTAACATTCCGACCATGACAAGGAACAGAATTGCCCCTGAAACAGCAACACAAGTTATCCAGAGAAAAAGTGCCATGTTCATTGGGTTCCTAAACCATTCCTTGCTAATTCTCCAGAGGGAGGTCCAATCAATTTTCCGACTAAAGACCCTATTAAAGTGTTGACGAAAATGATGATTGGTGGAAGAAGGTACAGTCCGTGAAATCTCATCCTTTTCCTCAGCAAACCGCAGAAATTTTGTGGAAGGGGAAGCCAAAGACCACCCAAATTTGGGAAACCTTATTCTTTTGGGAAGAGCAGAGAAACCATCATGGATCCCATCTTGGGGGTTTTCATCACTTATAAGTCCCCTATGAGACGTTGAAATGTGAAGAGGAATATGACCGTTGTCTTTAGCACCATTAGATTCCGTCTTTCCACTAATGTTGTCGCCAATATCAATTGTAACCATTCTTTCTTTCTTTCTTTTCTTCCGAATGCCCAAAAAAATTCAGAACTTCAAACTATTGTAAATCACAGCTATCTTGGTTCTTTATTCTGCAACCACATATCAGAAAGCTGTGAAAACAAGATTGCAATTTCCATCACCCACGTTATGTTCTAGATATTGCAGGGTTGCACTGAGAAAGATCACGATAAAACTCACCCAAAAACCCAAAACTAAGTATTGTATGTTTGTTTTAGCAACCAAATCTGAAATTTGCTGTTAATAAATAAGGGAAGAAAGGTATCTGTGACCCTGACAAAACATATATTCAGAAACCGAAGCAGAAAGCCCAAATAAGCTATCCAGTAAATAAAATTTATCAAATCGAACCGAAGACTAAGACTGTAGAACCTACCCCAAATTGGTGTTACGTTATAAATGTTTTCAATAAACCGAACATACATTTCAAAGCAAAACTCAAAATGAGGACATTGAAAATTAAAAATGCGTACTACAAGGACATGAAAACTAGACTCAAAACTGATATAAGCTTCATTCAATTACATTTACCGTGATGAAGATCTATTCAGCTACGGAAGCAATAAATCTATGTAGAACACAACCACACACACACACACACAGAGATGAATAATTATAACATATATGGAAGATCTAAAAGCCTATAGAACACATACCTCATGCATGGATTGACAGATAAGATGATTGGAAGAGACAAATTGAAGCAAAGCTGGAGCTCCTTCCTTAATCCATAAACAGAAAGAGTTGTTACAAAGCAGCAGCGGCGGCGGCGGCGGCGGCGGCGGAGATTCTATTGCTCTTTTGCTACTTCAAAACTATACTATAGAGGCAAGAGGTTATTCTGTATTTAGCCGGGGGACGGAGTAGAGAGGGCTGTGCTGTGCGGTAGCGTGGTTCTCCGGAAAGGGGTATAGAACTGCGATCTGCAAGAATATACTCGTCTAGTCGCTGGTGTGCCCATTTTGGAAGTGATTGACTTACGAACCAATTAGATGATGCCACGAGGGCAAGGTGGTGGGGTCGGTGCTATTTTCTTCTTGTTGCCACCGACGTCTGTTTACCAGTCAAAGGGATTATTGGCATTGCGACTGATTAACACGACACGGGTATAATATAAAAATAGAGTCTTTCTTAAGCTGTAAGCCTGCAGCATGATACAATTAAGAAATGAATTGAATACGAGTAAAAAAAAAATTGGTGTTAAAAAATATTTAAAATTTTATTTTAGTATATTATTTTGGTCACTTAAAAAACAAAAATATTTTGACATATTTTGAATTCATTTCAAACCGTTTTGAAAATAAAATAAAAAAAATAAAAAATTTAAGAATTATTTTTTTAAAACATTTGTCGAAATATATCAAAATATCTTGAAATAGTTTGAAACATTCTGAAATAATTATGCAAATGCATTGAAATATAACAAAATATTTCGAAACATTACGAAACACTTCGAAATATTAGAATTTTGATTTCATTACTGATCCATTTCGATCTCCTTAAAAACAAAAACGTTTCAAATGTACCCCGGGCCAACAACTCGTTGGTAAAATCAACGAGTAAAATGGATATAAGTAAAATTGATTAGAAGAAATATATAGTAAAATTCGTTTATACACCAATTATATACAATTTATACATGATACGATTCTTTATACATAAATGAGTTAACTAAACTGGAGTTAGGGGTCGTTTGATAACGTTTTTATTATTGCGTCTTCAAAAAATTAAAAACAAAAATAATTTTTTGTCTCTATTTTGTGGTAAACACTGAAACAGAAAACATGTTTAGTAATCATTTTTGTCTATCAAATTATGAGAATAAAAACATAAAACATGTTTAATAACTGCCTCTTTTTATTTTTATTTTTTTTTAAAAAGGAAATAATATATTGATGTAAGCCAAGATTACAAGAAGTAAAGAAGAAAACTTTAAAAACAAGAAGAGCCATAGTTGGCTTTAATCCTTCAAAAGAAAAGATAAAAAAATTCAACGTATGTCAATATTGCCTAGCAAATTAGACCAACTGAAAGGCGCTTGAGGACCAGCTGAGTGGCACACCAAACCACCAAGCAGGAACCATAAACCAAACAGCAAACGACCACAAAGAAAACCCAAAAGGAGTGGAGCAGCTGAAAGGCGCAGAAAGACATGAAAACCAGCTGAAAATCATTAAAATCCAGCTGGTAATCCAGCTGAGAACAAGCTGAACATAACCGAAAAGGCCACAAACATTGCAAACCCAAAACAGCAGAATGGCCAGCAAAACGGGCAAGAACACCAGCTGATAATCCTGTTGGAAGAGCAGTAAAACCAACTGGAAATCCCATAAAAACAGCGTAGCAGCAACCGAACTATTTACGTAAACAGTGCAGGTGAGTAGCAGCAAACAGGCAGGAGCAAGCTGTATAGATTACCCAAAATTTGTATCAGAACATGAGACAGCAGAAGGCACAAAAGGAGTCAGCTGAAGCCAGCTGAAAACCAAGCAGGAAAGTCAGCTGGAAATCAGCTGGTAAACCAAAGAAACACCAGTGGCGAACACGCTTAAACTGTCCAGCAATAACATAGCAACCAGGACCAGTTGAAAGCCGCAATAACCATGAAAATAACTGAAATCTAGATGAGAGTCCAGTTGGAAAATAGCAGCTAAAAGCCAGCACAGTAGTACAGAACCTTTGAAAGCAGCAGCACCATTAAAGAAAGCCAAAGAAGGCACAAAATCATTAAGAAGCCTAGGTGAGATCAGTTGAAAACCAGCTGAGATTCCAGCAAATAAACCCCAAAGAACAGTGCATAGCATCCCAAAACAGTAAGTCAAGCAGATAGAATGCCTGATGACCCTCACAAATCAAGATGAAATTGTTGAAAAGGGGAAAAGCCAACAAAAGTTGGCTTTAATCCTTCGACAGTAATAAACCCTTGAAGTCAATAATAGGTAGAACCATTTATAGGCCCATTGCCCATACTCTGCCTCAGCACCAGTACCACAGAATCACAGAAAAAGACATCCACAGCTCCCAAACTGATACTGGACATAATACAGATATTCAACACTGCCCAGAGCACCAAGCAGCAAATGCACATCCACATTAACCACAACATCATCCAATCCCTCGCCTGTGCTCACTTTCAATCACCTTCAATCTAGCTGAGGCCATCATGCTTTGATCCTGTTGTAAAAGTAATCTACCAGTGATAGGCAGCATGTCATTTTCAGAAAAATCAAAATACCTACCAGACTGCACTGCATAAGAGGCCAGGAAATCTGCAACTCTATTGGCCTCCCTATAAATATGCCTAATCTGAAATTGCATCTTCCCAAGAATATCTAAAATTTGTTCCATATAAGTAGATAATCTCCATGGAACATCAACAATACCCAAGACCATGTTAACCAACACTTGAGAATCAGATTCCAATACCAGGTGATGAGTATTCAGACCATAATGCATTATCATTTTCAAACCATCCAGCAAGGCCAGACATTCTGCTTTCATGTTTGATCCAATCCCATAAGCTGCAGCTGCTGCTAACAAAATATGCCCCTTAGAGTCCCTTAAAATCATCCCTCCACCAGATAAACCATTATTTTTGGATGCCCCATCAACATTTAATTTCACCTGGTTCACAGTTGGAGGTTCCCATTTAATCCATTTTACCTCGTGATGACAGAAAAGGGTGGAACAATCCCAAGGTCCTGCAACAATTCATTTCAAATTCTACTTCAAGTTTTATCCTAAATATGCTTTATAATACCTCATTTTTTGTTTTCAAACAAATCAACACTTTATTTCATGGAAAATAATTTACAACCATGAATTAAAGACTTTCAACAAAGCACCTATCTGCACCTTACTGCAATTAATCCCCAAATCAGAAAACCTAAATAAAAAACAAATAGACGTTATATTACATCAAAATACAAATCCAAACATTCCTTAAACCAAAATATCTACTACTTCATCAAAGAACATCTAAAGAAAGATAGTTACATTACATAAGGCAATAACCACATTCATACATCATAGTGTCCAACATATAGCCCCTAAGTTCAGACATTAATAGGTCATATCACTTAACTAAAAATCCAATAATTAATACAAATACCACAAACAATAATGCACAAATAAAAATCAAATTACATCCACAACAAGCAAGCATGAAAATAGTAATTCATTTCTACTCTCTCCATCTTGACTGGGTTTGATTAATCACATGCTGTTCATTTGCAATTGTGTTATACTTATCAATCCATATGAAACAATTATCATGCTCACGCCATCGTGGACAACGATAAAAAGCTCGTCCATTATTTCTTTTGGTCCTTGCGACCAAAATATTCATGTTCCCGGATCCACACGAACATGAAGGGCCAATAAGTAGTATTATGTAGTATAAGTAGTATAAGTATAAGGATATGGATCTGTCATTGAGCTATTGGATTCATAGTATAAGTGTAAGTAGTATTAATCATCCTATAAGTAGTATTAATCATTCTGATTTGAGCTATGGGATTCATAGTATAAGTATAAGTAGTATTAATCATGTCCCCTGAAGAGATTGCTAGTGGTCTAATTGACATTTCTGCTATCTATGAATCTTTGAATGAACCTGATCAGGCACTTAAATTGCTTCAGAGGGCCTTAAAGGTATATGGCAATGCACCTGGTCAACAAAGCACAATTGCAGGAATTGAGTCTCAGATGGGGGTCTTGTACTATATGCTGGGAAGTTACTCTGATTCTTATAACTCTTTCACAAGTGCAATTTCAAAGTTTCGGGCAATTGGAGAGAAGAAATCTGCTCTCTTTGGTATTGCTCTGAACCAAATGGGACTTGTCTGTGTGCAACTTTACGCAATAAACAAAACTGCAGATCTCTTTGAAGAAGCAAGGACTATTTTGGAGACTGAATGTGGACCTTAAGGTCATTTGGAAATAAATTGGTTGTGCCATTTAGATAATAATTATAGTACATCTAGCAACAGTTTCTAGGAATGATGTAACATGAACCTCATGCTTATTGAGGGATTAATTAGTTGAACTCAAAAACTATAACATAACTCCAAAAGATTGTATTTTTTTTTAAAAGATCAATCCTAACTTTTCTTTTTTTAAACAATATTAAAAAGAATAGAAATAGCAAAGATTATTAATGATGGATCTACTAGAAAAAACCAATCATTTAACATCATGACTGAAATTTATAAAAATTGAAAAAAAATTAAACAGAAGGTCCAAATCTGATGAAGATTATAGTTACAAAATTGAAACAGTATTAAAAAGAAATACTTTTTTTTCCTTTTAAAATAGAAAGACAACTAATACTTACCAGTTACAACCAAAGTATGCCAGTCCAATCCCAAAGGCCATTTCATTGGCCTAAGAGAGAGAGAGAGACAACTAGTTCAGCATACACACTGCTTTTTTTTACTCTTTAGAGCTCTGTACCATAGTTAGCTGGCTACCTTATCCTCCTACAGTCCTACCCTCCCTCTAGCTCAGTGTTCTTTCCTTTTCTAAAAAGATAGCTATAACTCTGTCTGTCACAAAACTGCACAACGAAGCTCCATCATTAGTTTCTTTGGCTTTTAGTTTTTCATTTTTGTTATAATCTCTCGAGCCTCGAGATATACATTTTATGCAGGACTAATGATGCAATCGAAATCTTAGTGTGGACCTCGAACCAAAGTGGCCACGGCAAAGGATTTCCGAATCTAATGAATGGTTTGCAAAGAAAAAGACATCAAATTATCTAATTTCGCTTGGCATTAGCTTTCATATTCTGAATAAAAAGAACATCCATTGAAAAGCAGAAGCAAAATCACTCAAACAGAAGATTTTCCCCAACGTTGAGAAAACAAACGCAGAACCACTCAAAAAATTTAAACATATTTTCTGAGATAGCAAAAGCAGAAAAAAAATGGTCATTGGAGCACAAAACCGTACAGATCTATGTACATAAAAAAATTCAGATAAAAAAAAAAGGGATTTTGGGTATGTAATGTACAGATCTATATATATACATACAAGTAATGGGGTTACATTACCTTCTTCGTCTTCGGCTGTGAGTCTTCTTCGTGTGAGGCTTCTTCGTCGTCGATCTGTGAGTGGAAGAGAGAGAGAGTCGCTGAGAGAGCTCCGGAGAAGAGAAACGTACCGAGAGAGAGACGTTACTTACCTTAACAGAAGAGAGAGAGTGGCCGAGACCGAGTTGCAAAGGGAATGAGTTGTGCGAAGAACAAGATTGGCTGAGACTATATATACTCTCTCATATTAAGTGAGATTTGTGGCTAACAAGAGTCGAAGGGGAGACCTTATTTATACAAAAACGCGTGTTTTTTATTTTGTGTGTTTCCTCGAACAAAAATTTTTTCTTCCCATTTTTTAGGTCTTTGCCTCCGATACAACTAAAACAAAACAATACACAAACATATTTTTGTTTTCATTTTGGACAATTTGAAAATAAAAACACAAAATTCAGGACAAAAACAATTATCAAACATAGCCTCAAAGTATGAGATTTGTGTTATTTTAGTCTCTAATATTTTAATTATATCATTTTACTCCCTAAAATATTAAATGTATTTCTATATACTCCCTCAAACAGATAACATCCAAATTGTTAATAATTTTTTATTATAAACTTGTCGTGTAATATCTAAATATAGACAAAAAATAATTTGAATAACTTTTGACCAAATTTCTATTCAAATTTTGGTAAAAAAAATTACATAAATTACACAATTTTAATCATAAACTTTTCAAATTTTGATCAACAATTATCAATATTACACATTTTTTATCAAGAGGTACCCAAATTTAGTAAAGAGCTACCAAAATTATTTTTTATCCATATTTAAATATCACATAACAAGTTTTATGATAAAAAATTGTTAGTAATTTAAATCTTATTTACTTGAAAAATCACATAAAAATATATTCAATATCTCATGAACCTAAATGACGTAATTAAAATATTAAGAATCAAAATAAGACAACTTTTATACTTTAAGAACTTCTAGTACAATTAACCTTACATAAATTAATAAATAAATTAAATATTTTTTTGACATAAACCCACTAAAATCCGAAACCAACGTAGGAGGACTAGAAGGTTGTTCAACTATCTCAACACACCCAACACCAAAATATACGAGAGCACTATATTTGTAACTCAAACTCGTTTAATACAACCACCAAAGTACCATGCCAAGGCCCGCAAAATAAGTTCCAGATATGCAGTCAACAGTATTTTTTATAAATGATAACAATATGCAACCAAATGAACAATTCTTTGTGCAACTATTAAGGGCGATTCGATAAACCAACCAACGAGGGCATTCAATTCAACCACATAACACTCTGAATTAGTGAATTTAGCAGTCGGGGCAACTTTTTAGCACATAAAAGCATCCAGCACAAGACACTGTGCCCTTCAATCCAATCAATTCAATCATTTTCTTCATAGATTCTTTAGTTCTTCGCACATATAAGTTCGTCCCCAGCCACAATTAGGGAACAAAACTACATTCCAATCTCACAAACTCACAAGAAATATTTAAGCAATCGCAGTGAAACACCACCATCCAATTCAATGCAATAATTATAAACAAATGCAGATCAGTGTTCCAATAGCAGTGGATTCAAGTAAGATCATCCTCTTCCAGCTCTTTAGCCTTCACTGCTTCCTTCACTCTCAACAGAAGAGATGTCTTCCACGCATCCTATAGAGGGAAATAAGAAAGCAATATCAGGAAATTGTGGTATTCAATAATTAGAACAGGTAGCCAGAAAAACGCTAATCTAACATAACCACCATTCAAGTTTAATCATTACCAATTTCAACCTTGATTATGTATATAAACAAGACGGATGTGACAGCAGCATTCAGTACCATCCTCAGAATAGACCGGAAAAGTAGTACCTTAACTTACTACAACAAGCTTGAATCTAAACTAAAGTAGTTTGGGTTGCTTATTTAAATCATTGTTTTCCATTCATCCATAACCATAACCCATACAATTGTCATCCACCACCAAATCCCAAAGCAATCATGTCTCTCCTCATATCCTCATATCATTGGCTCATGTTCTTGTAATATTCTCACCTTGGAACCTTTAAGTCATGTCGAATCGCTCAATACCAATTTCTTGAGGGGAATATATTGCATAAGGCCAAACCAGTGAAAAATTGCCAAGTTTCTGGATGCCACTGAAAATTCCTCACAGCTGCATTCATTTCTTGATAAATCTCCTCCTTTATTTTTCATCCAATTTAAAATCTTCTTATAGGCCACAAACATTTTGGGAAATAAATGAAGATATTGTAAGCAATAATTACCTTTATTTTTAAATCTTCTTTACAGAACACATGCCTCTAACGTAGGGATGGAGGAAGACCAAAATTAACTTTAATTGAAATACTAAAGAAAGATATGACACCCTATGGTTTAACTAAAAACATTTCCCTTGATAGACCTCAATGACGAAAAAAGATTCATGTAACTGACCCCAAAAACATTGGAACAAGGCTTTGTTGAGTTGAGTTGTTGAGAACACATGCCTTTTTTCAGCCACAGCATTTTTCTTTCGTTGAGTGTAACTTGACTCGCTTAAAACTTATCCCTACTAAAATGCTTTTTGCAAGATTGTAAACAGTTACAACAGTTTGAGATCATATTGGCATATGAAGACTTCCACATGGTACTACAACCTATGTATAGACACTATGGACTAGCATATAAGAAAAAAATGAAATTAAGGTTTGTAAATAAGNCAAAATATACGAGAGCACTATATTTGTAACTCAAACTCGTTTAATACAACCACCAAAGTACCATGCCAAGGCCCGCAAAATAAGTTCCAGATATGCAGTCAACAGTATTTTTTATAAATGATAACAATATGCAACCAAATGAACAATTCTTTGTGCAACTATTAAGGGCGATTCGATAAACCAACCAACGAGGGCATTCAATTCAACCACATAACACTCTGAATTAGTGAATTTAGCAGTCGGGGCAACTTTTTAGCACATAAAAGCATCCAGCACAAGACACTGTGCCCTTCAATCCAATCAATTCAATCATTTTCTTCATAGATTCTTTAGTTCTTCGCACATATAAGTTCGTCCCCAGCCACAATTAGGGAACAAAACTACATTCCAATCTCACAAACTCACAAGAAATATTTAAGCAATCGCAGTGAAACACCACCATCCAATTCAATGCAATAATTATAAACAAATGCAGATCAGTGTTCCAATAGCAGTGGATTCAAGTAAGATCATCCTCTTCCAGCTCTTTAGCCTTCACTGCTTCCTTCACTCTCAACAGAAGAGATGTCTTCCACGCATCCTATAGAGGGAAATAAGAAAGCAATATCAGGAAATTGTGGTATTCAATAATTAGAACAGGTAGCCAGAAAAACGCTAATCTAACATAACCACCATTCAAGTTTAATCATTACCAATTTCAACCTTGATTATGTATATAAACAAGACGGATGTGACAGCAGCATTCAGTACCATCCTCAGAATAGACCGGAAAAGTAGTACCTTAACTTACTACAACAAGCTTGAATCTAAACTAAAGTAGTTTGGGTTGCTTATTTAAATCATTGTTTTCCATTCATCCATAACCATAACCCATACAATTGTCATCCACCACCAAATCCCAAAGCAATCATGTCTCTCCTCATATCCTCATATCATTGGCTCATGTTCTTGTAATATTCTCACCTTGGAACCTTTAAGTCATGTCGAATCGCTCAATACCAATTTCTTGAGGGGAATATATTGCATAAGGCCAAACCAGTGAAAAATTGCCAAGTTTCTGGATGCCACTGAAAATTCCTCACAGCTGCATTCATTTCTTGATAAATCTCCTCCTTTATTTTTCATCCAATTTAAAATCTTCTTATAGGCCACAAACATTTTGGGAAATAAATGAAGATATTGTAAGCAATAATTACCTTTATTTTTAAATCTTCTTTACAGAACACATGCCTCTAACGTAGGGATGGAGGAAGACCAAAATTAACTTTAATTGAAATACTAAAGAAAGATATGACACCCTATGGTTTAACTAAAAACATTTCCCTTGATAGACCTCAATGACGAAAAAAGATTCATGTAACTGACCCCAAAAACATTGGAACAAGGCTTTGTTGAGTTGAGTTGTTGAGAACACATGCCTTTTTTCAGCCACAGCATTTTTCTTTCGTTGAGTGTAACTTGACTCGCTTAAAACTTATCCCTACTAAAATGCTTTTTGCAAGATTGTAAACAGTTACAACAGTTTGAGATCATATTGGCATATGAAGACTTCCACATGGTACTACAACCTATGTATAGACACTATGGACTAGCATATAAGAAAAAAATGAAATTAAGGTTTGTAAATAAGGAGTTTTAGCTTTCTCAAGTCACACAAACCAGAAAAAGCCACAGCAAAAAAAAAAAGGACGAACAAAAACAAACCTCCTCAACATGAAACTGTTATCAGAATCCATTAACTTAAATCTAAAATATCCCAATCTCTGTCTCTAAATCCGCAGCCAACTTATTCACCCAAAAATGCTCCAAACTAAAAGGAAGATGACATCAAGAATCTCAATTTAAAAATGATATCAATTTACCAGCTGGGTCATGCTATCAAATTCCTTGACAGCATTGGTGAACTTTGCAACATCTTCCTCGTCAATTGCAGCAGCCAAATCCTGCCAACATACAAGCAATCTTATCTTTCAAGCAAAATTTTTGTATGATAATAAAAAACAAATATACAATAAAAGACTATCAACCACCGCCAAAAAACTCAATAATTAAGTATAAGGAACTGATAAAAAACATTCAAAACTCGAACTATGGACTTGAAATGAAAGATAATCCATTTCCAAGAAACTAGACAGTGGAAATTCGCCATTACAAAAGGAAAAAAACACAGAAATCAAAATCCACATCAGACATGACAAACAATAACATACCGCCAGCAATCTGTACTCACGTGTCCCTGAAAAGGTTGGATCCAGGTCCTGCAAATGCAAATGCAACAGTTACTCAATAGACATCACACACAATGTATATACAAAATGCCAGACAAGAACCAGCCTAAAACCTGATATCGCTCCAATGCATTAGTAACCGCAACAACATCGCCTTTACAGAGTTGGCAAATGCCAGCATTAAGAAGATGTCCTTTGACTCCATACTTCAGTAAGTTATTGTTAAGAGAGTGGCGTGCTATCTCTTCGTATATCTCAATCGCTGGCTGGTATCTGGAAAAATATTGTGAAAACAGTACATCCCTATAAGCACACTTACTAATTCTTCATCAACATTTTACATCAATGAATGGCTGTGACAATAATGTTTAATCAAACTAGATTTCTTTTTGGTGTCACATTCTTGAGCATTCCTACACTTTTTTGATACAATCCATATGAAACTCAAGAAGAGATAAATTCAAAGATATGAAGACTATGGAATTGACTTTCCATCAAGACAAAGAGTAATATGGAACCTTGCATTACTGGATTTAAGTTTTATTGAGTTAGTTTGAGTTACTTTGTTGACATTAGTATTTCAGGTGTTATTTTTATATTTTTCAAAGTTAAGGGTATTTTGGTAATTTTTAAATTTGCTGGAATGGGTCATAGTCCAACTTGTGGAAGGTCTTATGGATCAAATTCTAGTTTGGGATATTCTAGAATTTGGAGTCCTAATTCTAGTTTATGTTAGTTTCCTAATTTTAAGTAGAGTCTTTGAAGTCCTAGAAACTTTAGAATTCTAATCTTTTTAGGATTAAGAGATACTCGGAGGTCTATATATAGAGCTATAATACAATAATTTAATAGAGATATATATTTTTCAGAATTTTCAGCAATTATATGCTTCTAGGATTGTGTGATGCAATTCAAAACCCTAGATGTGATGCCTAAGAAACCCTATGAGTGATTCATAGTTTTCGACTTGATATATTCATAGTTATACCCTTAAACGTCATCTACAAAGCCCTATACCTTTCCCCTTCAACCTGTCTAACCCTAACACACAAGCTGACACAATTATACCATTTTCAGGTCCACTGCTGTCCTACATCATTTTTCCTCTTTGAAATCAAGTGACTCTGAATGATAAAGGATCCTCTATGTTCTTACTAAAGATTACTTTTCAATAATTGTGAAAAAAATTGTAAAGCGAACAAGCTAAACTCATACTACAAAAATGGAAACTTCATTAGTATAACTTAGTTGCTCGGATTATCAAAACAGAAGACCACCAAACTGAATTATCAACAAGAGCAGCAAACCACATAACTCAAATTATTTTCAACGATCCCACAAAGATTTAAAGCACTCGAAAAAATTATTCACAATATCAGCCATAAACAAGTGCATTAACTAATGGCTTCGAGATACTAAATGAGAAACTTACACATCCATGGATACTTTTAGATTTGCAGAATTAAAGAACTGCACCACAAAATTGATTAGTTTCCCAAAACAAGATAGGATAGGCAAATTATTAGCGCCACATTTAATTATCTGTCCAAAAATATCATCTACGTGCTCTGGTAGCATTTCATACGGAAAAACTAGGTTACAACATATTTTATACATGCACTACATAGTGAACCTGGAATAGGTCATATAACACCACAAAACACAACAGACGTATCTACACAGAGCATACAGGCTTACCGTTCAAGTTGAGCAGAGAATTGTGCAATTTTCTGCTTGCATTGATTTGCAGTTGTTGTTACTTCTTCACTTTGGAATAGATCAGCTGCCCTTTCATAGAAAACAATAGACTGCTCCAAGTTTTGTTCTTGCTCGTACAATTCGGCAATTTCCTGCACTTAAAGAAAGCAATTACAAGGCATTTTCTTCTATAAATAGGTTCATATTATCCCATGCATTAATTAACTAAGTCTTCTGCTCAAGAATAACTATGACGCTGATTGTACGGTTTGAAAACATTGCAAAGAAAAGGTACATCTAACACAGCATAATACTCTGACAAAAAAAATTTATAATAAGAGTCATAAGACAGCATAATGCAACTATAAATTACTAAAGCATAGAGAACTCAGTAAAGAATTTGGTTGCATGGATCTAGCAATTTAACATATTCACTGACAAGTCAATGTACCTTATAATATCTCGCAGACATATTGAGCCTTCCAATATCCAAAAATATATTTATAGCTTGCTCTAGGCAAGATATGGACTCTGCAAAGAATCCAAGGTTACATCAACAAGAAATTCCACAAGCCATGAAGAAGAAATTAGTGTGGTATGTTAGTGAAAATGCAAATTGATGATGATGACAAAAGTAGATCAAATTTTCCAAAGACGATTTACATGCAAATCCTACAACGGTCTATTGCAATACTAGTTAAGAGAAACATAAAGATCCAATCACGAAGAAGCTGTAACGAGTAGATGACAAATGACAAATGACAAATGACAAGAAGAGGGTTAGATAGAGTGAAATAAAATAAATAATGAGGTAAGCAATTTACATACCTTTTGTATTTGTTTTCTTATAGCAATGAGCAGCATCAGCATAAGCATTGGCAGCTTCATGTTTGCTATCCAACTGTTAACATACAGTCAACAGGGGTCATCCAAGCTACTAGTACAATAGAAATCCAAGGACAACACATATCAGAAAAAAAAAAGGCCTAGATACATCCACAACAAGTACTTACCTTTACATGACAGTTAGCCAATTTGACATACACAGCTCCAGCTTGATCCCCTAAAAAACCACAAGTTGTGATAAGTAATTGACACCACACAGACATATAATGCTGCCACATAATATCTAAAAAAGAACATTATCCTTTGATTCACTGGGTGATTAAAATGCTCAAGTGAAATGAAACGTTGTTAAAAATATAAAGCCTGTGGCTTTGAAAGCCGTAGCCAAACTTAAAATAGATGGGAAAATGATTTATTGAGTCAAGTTGAACTTTGATAACATTATGAATTTACGAAACCTAATAGCAAAATGGATGGTTCTATATCATTTATATAGAAGAGCTGAAAACTTAGAAGATACCAAAGTGAATCAATTGTAATTTCTCTACCAAAATCCAAGTATCTAAATCTAGATTTTTTTAGGGTGGTAAACCTAGGTTCCAATAAATTAATGGCAAGGATAAACTAACAAACCACCACACCAGAAACCCAACCCCCCCCCAAAAAAAAAATTTCCAAAATGCTTCAAAACCTAATTCACCCTGGTCCCATGTTTGTGTTGAGTAGCTTGGTAATCAAATCTATGTTTATTTTCAATAATTTATTGAATATTTGGGTCCGACCCGACTAGTCGCCGAGTACAAGATCCACCCCACACGAGCTACAAGCCCAGACTAAAGTCTGTTCGGATAGCCGAAGGGGAAGACTCGAACCTATAGCCTTCATTTGAAATGAGCTCCTAGCAAACTTGTCTATCCGTGGGGTTTGATAACAAAATGTCGGTAGCTCCAAAACGACTTAATAACCCCCATATTCTATCTACCAAAACAAAAACCTCCAACAATTAGCACACAATCAATTCCCAGCCTCTTTACAACGACTTCAGGTCAACTCAGAAATTACAAATTAGATCAAAAATCAAAATACAAAATCCAAACGTATCTAAAAAAAAAAGCACTCGATCAATCAACCATTTCAACTTGATCGTCAAATAACGTCCGATTCAATTCAATCCAACCCTAAATCGCATCATCCATCAAATGTAAAAAAAAATAGCACAAAAGTTCAGGTTAACCAAAAGATTACTATCGAATCAAGTAATTCGAAATGATGAATACAAATACAGGCATATATATCTATACATAATTACATGATTTGGCGAGTTTGAAGGCATTAGCAGCTTTATCGAACAAATCAGCGGCGTCTTCGTATTTGGAACCGAAAAGACCCCAACCGCTGAGCTTCTTCTCGGCTTTTCTCTCGAATTCTTCTGCTCTCGCTATCTGATCGGTCATCTTTGGAACTCTCTCTTTCTTCACACGGTGCTGCAGAGAAGAAATGGTTGAAGAACTCTGAACTTTGACAATCGAAAAGTAAAAAGCGGTTGCCAAGTGTTTATCGTCCTGGGAAAACCCAAGGCCCAGTGTTTTGACTTTTGAGGCTTAGTCCGAGTTGTCAATTGGTTTCGGCCCAAACATGAACACTAATAATTTGGGTTTTTTTTGTAAGTTAAGTCCACATTTGTGGACTTTTGGGAGAAAGACATGTGCAGGCTCGTTAAAATGTAATTCGACACGATGAATTGACATAAATTGACACAGAATAAGCAGGTTTGGATGAGACGTTAACGGGTTAGGGTGATAAACGAATTGACCTGTTTAACACGTTTAATAAATTAATCGTGTTCGGGTGAGACATGTTAACTCGTTTATAATTCGTTTACCCATTTAAATAAAATTAATAGAATAATAAATTAATAATTATTTTAAAAAAAAATAACCATAATTTTTTTTTTTAGTGACAGTCACACAAAAAATATATAAATTTATCTTTCCCTAACCCTAATTCTTTTTACGCTGAAGCCTTGTTGCACCTCTACTATTCTACTCATCCCCCTCTCTTTCTCTTTCTCTTTCTCTTTCTCTCTCTTGCTCGACAGTAACTCAGTGAGCTGTGAGCAGTTGGTGTCTGGGACTCTTGGGTCGGGCGGAGTCGCTGTCCACAGAGACTTCGAGCAAAGACATCTCAGATCTTAGACAAGAAAAAACAGGTAAAAGGTTTTTTTTCTTTATTTTTGGTAATTAAGAACTCTTCTCCAATTCAATATTTTCTTCCCCAAACCCTTGTCTATATATTCTCGTTGTCCACTCATTTCCAACCCTTCTCGTCGTATCTCCCTCTTGCAATCAAAGTCATTGCTTAAAGCGACTCGGAGAGAGTCTGCAATCATGTTGGTCTATGAAGATTTGTTTACTAGTAAATCCTTTTTTCCTTAATAAATATGGCATACATGCAACATGTGTTTATATGATACATGATTTGATTAGTCGATTTTAGGTTTTATGTGAATTTAAATCTTTTTATTTTGTATGTTCTTTGTTATTTATATTTAGATCTATGTTAAACTGTTTTTGTTTTTGTGTGATTTGTGATGTTTTAATTTTTTTTATTTATTATAGATTCGATCTTTTATCAGGTTTTGAATATCTGGGATTGGGGATTAGATTATTATTTGTACATGATTTGATCTGACTGTTTATATTGAGTTAATTTGAATTTTTACGTATAATTTATAATTGTAACTTTTATAAAGGTTGATTTTTTTTGTTTTTACTTTTGTTATCTATTCTGGTGTTGGGTGTTCTGGGTTGTTGAGAAAATACAGGGAAGATCAGGGGTGGGTGTGTATGTAGGTATGTATCAGTTTGTGTGTTGTGTGTGTTGGGAGGTGATATCAATTTAACTCTATTTTTTTGCCTTAAACAGATGGATTCTTCCGTATACAATATTATAGTTTTTAATGAAGAAGATCAGGTCGGACATGAATATAAGGTAGATGCAGCTCCAACAAGTACATCTACAGAAAAAGGTAAATCTAATCATAAACGATAAAAAACTTCAATAGTATAGAAATACTTTACAGAATTAAATGAAAAATATCCAGATAGCAAGAAGCGTTCTGCATATAATAGTTATGGTATCAAATATATATGTGATTCTAGTCATGGAACTAGTAATATGTACACTCACATGAAAAAATGTGTGAAAAAAGACACCGAAAAAATTGGACAATTACTTCTAAGTCAAGGTCAAGAATTTATGCTAATGCAATCCACAAAATTTGACCTTGAAAAGTTTCGTGAGTTAGCGGTTGAGACAATACTTAAACTTGATTTACCATTTTGATTTGTCTAATATGAGGGTATTAGAGCAATATTCAAGTATGTTTATGAGAATATCAAGATGCCTTCTAGGAATACCGCAAAGTCAGATGTGTTAAAAATGTATAAGTGAGAGAAGGATAAACTTAAAATTGTGTTGAGTTCTTTCCTGAAAGAATTTGTTTGACATCTGATTTGTGGACTTCTATATCGACTGATGGATATGTTTCTCTCACAGTCCATTATGTTGATCTAAATTGAAAATTACAGAAAAAAATTTTAAACTTTTGTCTTATTTTAAAATTTTAAACTTTTGTTTCTCCCCATATTGGTATTGTCTTGTCTGAGAAAATTTATACATTTTTTATTGATTGGAGAATTGAAAGAAAATTACTTTTTTTGACTTTGGATAATGCTTCTAGTAATTATTGTTTTGTTGAGTTGTTGAAGAGACAACTTAACTTTAAAAATGCTCTCTTGAAGGATGGTAAATTCTTCCATGTTCGGTATTGTACACATATTCTTAATTTGAAAGTCTAAGATGGACTTAAAGAAATCGATGAATCAGTGATAAAAATTTGAAAAAGCATTGAATTCATGGAAAGAACAGTAAGTTTGATTCTATTTTACTAGTATTATTTTCTCATTATCCTAATTCATGTGATCATTAATTCATTTATGTTTTGTTGTGCTTAGTTGTAGATGATTCTAGTGATGATTCGAAAGGGAAAATAGATAATGATGTTTTCGATCAAAATATGAAGTCTAATAAAGCTAAATCCGTTCAATGTTCTAATTTTATATCTATCATTAATTATGACTAAGAGGTATTGAAATATGTAACTTGTAATGTCAAGTTTTTGTTACTTATCTAGTTATGAGTCTATTTAATTATTAATATTATATAATATTTCATTTTAATTTGTGTAGGGCATTAGAATTTGATTGTTGAATCTGCTCGTTGTCGTGGAGGTGGAGATTTGATCTCTTTCACGGGAAGATTGTGGTTTGTAATATGATTGTTATTTGGTGTAATTATGTTATTTCAGGTTGCATTTATGATTTGTAATATGATTGTTAATGGAATTTGGTTATTTTGGATTGTACTTTGTACTTTGTACCTTGTAATATGGTGTAATATTTTTAAATATTAAATTTATTTGTGTTAGTTTGTTAGTTTTATAAAATTATGTAACATTTTTAAATAAACAGGTAAATGAGTCAAATGAGTGGTTTATCGTATTAACCCAACCCTACCCAACCCAACTCGTTTAAAATTAGACGTGTTAAACGAGTCGTGTCATGTTATCCATTTATTAAACGGTTCGTATTCGTGTTTAGATTTTTTACCCGTTTATTATATGTGTCGTATACGAGTTTACATATTTTTCATCCATCACTCGTTTAACTCGACATATTTGTCACCCCTAAACATGTGTACGCCTTTTGAGATTTAAAAGGACAATTAAAAGCATAAAAATTAATTTATTCTTAATAAAAATAAAGAGTTATATTACAAAATGAACAGTAACAACAATACGATAATAATAACAGTGACACAGTAATAACAAGACAATAACAGTAACGACACAGTAATAGTAACAGTAACATCGACACAATAACAATAATAGTCACTGTCACAGTAACACGATCACATTAACAACAATGCTTGTGTGGTTGGATATAAAGGACGATGGCTAAAAATGGAGGTACTGTAAAAGATGGCATGACTAGAACATGGAGTGGTATTGGACTAGATAGGAACACGATCACAGTAATAACAACACAATCATAGTAACAACCACAGTCATTGTCAAAATTCTACGGAATTAGACTGTAATGTGAAGTAGACAACTACACGATCACAGTATCAATTACAATCACTGTCAAAATTCTATCAAATCAGACAGTAACGTGAACTAATCCGTTATATGATCATAATAACAGCCACATGATCGCAATAACAGTAACAATCATTGTCAAAATTCTACAGAATTATACATTAATGTGAACTAGACAACTATACGATTACAGTAACAATCACATGATCTTAACAACAGTTACAACCACTAATAGAATGGTTCATAAGTTTAAACTGAAAAAAAATAACATAATTTTCTCATCTATATCAAAACAAATCTAAGATCAATATATCAAAACAATCAAATAAAAGTGGAGATCTAAAAAATCTTAGCACAAAAAAACAATAAAACCCTTAGCTCATGCCTTTTATCAAACTCCATTTAGACAAAACAAATAAATTGAAGAATGTCACCAAAACAAAAATAAACTAAATAAAATAATTTAAATTGTTGTAGCGAAAAACTCATATCAGTTTGTGGGGGCAACAGAAGGTAGAGAAATTAGGTAAACAAATCCTAAAACTAAGAAAAAGTTGTTGAGTTCACTGATTGTTTTTCTCTGACAGTGTTTGGTCTTTGTTCTTTAGATCTTGATTCCAATATGGTAGCAATAGCGGAGCAATAGATCAAGGTGGCGGCCGATGAAGCTAACTGATATGGAGGGTCAAAAGAGTGTAGGTTCCAAGGACCGAGAAATATTTTCTTTTCAATTATGGAAGCAACATTGACATCCCATTGTACTTGAGGATATAATAGGCATTTTTAAAAATATAAAACAAATGGTTGGATCTAGTTACTAAAAATTACACATAATATGTCATTATTTACGCAATAAGTTCGAACCTGTCCTTAATGTTAAAAGAATTCCCTATACCATACTTGGTTCCAATTTTCACTAATAATTAATTTTAGGGGTTTTTCACACTTGGTGCCCTGGAAGATTTTAATTTTTTTTTATTTTATACCATTAAAAATTAAGGGTGTGTTTGGTTAGTTTCTGCAAAACAGTTTTTTATTCTCAAAATTTCAAAAACACCTAAAATTTGTTTGTTTAGCATTTTTGTTTTCTAAATTTTGGGAAAAAAAATGAGAATTGAGTCAAAGAAACAAAAAACAAGTGTAACTTATTTTCAAAGTTTTTTTTGAAAATTTTGGAAACAAAGAGAACAATTTTTGATATTCAGATATGTGTGTATATATATATATACATATTTATATATACGTATACATATATATGTATATATATATAAATATATGTTTATATATATATATATTATATCTATATAATAAAATAACTTATAATTTAAATCTCAAAAGATAAACAAAATGACTTTTGCTATTCGCGGTTGAGATCACTTTAAATTTTACTTTAAAGCTAATCTAATGACTAATATTAGTATCCTAAATTTAATAGGAAAAATAGGTATCTCAGAGTGTTTGGAGTGACTTTTTAAAAGTATTTTTACAAATTATTTCTCATAAATACTTTTAAAAAAAAATAGTGTTTGAAATCGTCCCACCACAACCTCTACTAGCACCACTACCACTGCTACCACCGCCACTACCACCACTGTCGCCGCCACCAATACCACCCCCACTACCGCCACCGCCACCACCATCACCACCACTGTAGCCACAACCACCGTCGCCATCACCACCGCTATTGCTGCCACCACGGTCATTACCACCCACCACAACCATCATTGTTTCCTACCACCACCACTGCCGCCCACCACTTCTCATTTTCACTACAAAACTTAAATTCCTTTATCTATTTCTCAATATTTGTGATTTGATTTTGGATATAAATATAAATATATTTATTGTTTATCATTTTGATTACTCTGTGCCTTCAGGCACAGACAATAACTAATATATATATATATATATATATATATATATATAAATAACCTTTTTAAAATTTTTAATTAATGTTTGAATTACTGTTTAAATATATATTTAGGCTGTTCAAACAGGTTTTACTATTTTCTATATTGTAAAATTATTTTTGAAATCATCTAACCAAACAAGTTTTTTATCTCAAAAAATATTAAAATCACTTTCTTAAAACTCTTCTCAAAAATTATTTTCGGATACTGTTTTTTGAAACGCAAACCAAACAGGCCCTAAATTTTTTACATTGCACCCTCAATGTATTCAAAGTATTACAATGTGACAATTCTGTTAGCTTCTGTTATTTTTTTCTTCAAAAATCAACGCATTAATATTGACGAAAAAATTAATGGAAAGCTAACAGAAAGGTAAAATTATAATTTTTTAATATATTAAGGGTGCAATATAAAAAATTTAATCTTTGAAAGTACAAAATAAAAAACTTGAAATCTTTTCAAAGTATAAAATACAATTCACCATAATTTTAGATACACTTTATAAATTCAACTTAAAATTGATACAAAATTAACTGATATAAGGTTCCACTTCAACTATTGCTCATTTGCTCTCCCCTTCCCTAAAGTTTAAAAAAAAAATAAAAAATGTACATTTAACTTTTATGTATTTAGGTGATCAACGGGTTAAGCTTGTTAAATAAATTAGTTGGCAGAGAGTCTGACTAAAAGATAATTCGACTTCACTAAACAATTATGAATAGATAGGGTATTGGTTGAGTAAAATTTGACAAGACATAAATAAAATACGATATAAACTATTGTTAGCTCTTAGGCCTAGTATTTTGATGTGCTTGGTTGTATACTTGTATTTGAGCACAATGATTCTTTTTATAATGGAGGTGTAGGAGAAGCAATTGATAGACAATCTTACTTTTATTTTAAAAATATTAATATTCACATAAGAATACACGATCTTTTATTACTATATGTGTGTGTGTGTGTATATATATATATATATATGTGAAAGAGACAATTTTAATATTAGTCAAACTCTTAAAATTTAAGAGATATTAATTTTCAAAATTTTTGTAATCAAATATAACTACTAAGTATATTTTATACAATAAAAATTAAAATAAATTTCACATTAAACAAGTTTTCTTGGTGAACTTATTTCCAAATAAACACACAACAGAGACCAACCTCCAAATTTCCCAAGTTTATTTGCAGGATTTCACTATTGGTTGGATAACATCTTTAGTCGGACATACCCTGATGTGATTAGTGCCACAATTGTTGTAGCTGTGTGCAAAAAATTGTCAAAATAAAGAAAAATAGGTCATATTCTTTTTTTTTTTCCCGATGAAATTCCATTGAAGTTGTCGCTGCTAACTTGGGCAGCGTTTTGGCCCTTTTGGGTAGGAATATCATTTAAAATGTCATATTTGAGAACCAATTTGATACGATTGAAAGATGAGGGGCCAAAATAAAACTGATCAGGAGCTAGCCTCATATCTCAGATCCTGGAATCTCTTCAGCAGATTCGATTTGAATCTTTCGACTTCAACATCCTCTGCTGAATCTGGGGTGGATGTGATGAGTGAGATTGCTCCAGCATCATGCAGAGCTCCAACAGCTTCATCTGCAGTATTAGGAGATATCAATAATGTTAATGACATACCATGTCTGATAAAGAAATTAAAGAGGAATCCAACTTCATTTTGCCTTCTGATCAATTTGAAAATGAATCTGTAGGTAAGGAGAACACAATTGAACTACAATTTGTTCCGAGGAATATAACAACATTTGAAATCAACAATTTAATCTACGGCCACATCAATTTTCAACTGCCAACATCATGAGTTTGAGTTGTACTACATAGATACTTCAAGAATTGCATGAGGAGAAGTGTCCAACCAACAACCAGACTGAGCATCCATAGCATGAAAGTCTGACCTGAACGTGAGAGAGCAAGAAGAGCCTTCAAAGCTTCCTTCCTTGTACGATCATCTTTAGCAGCCCCCAACATATTCAGAAGCCCTTGAGCCCCACCCATCTCCACTATTTTCATCCTTCTTTCATCTATGGATCAAAAGGGGGAAATATCTTTAAGAATACAATGTTTTCTAGTGGAGCAAAGTGCAAGCACAATTTTATCATAGTTCCCTTATGGGAAATAAGGAAAGAGGCTGGAATGAAAAACTTAAAAGGAAGACAACTAAAATGCATCAAGTATGCACTTCAATATAAGTCACTCAACGATCAAAACAACCTTTTGAAGAAAAAACAATATTATCCATTTTTAATAAATACATCTCGATAAATCAAATACTAGTCAAATATCCACCCAATTCTGGTGATGAAGGAGGAAGAAAACTGGACCTCCTCTCCCCGAAAAGAAGTGTTTAGTGTCACTAAATAATTTAATGAATATTTTCTCCAAACCCTGAAACCTAAATCCTATTGAAGGAGCCCGACTTATTCTTCATATTTTTAATGAAAAGGTCCTCCAGAAAAGAATAAATACTTCTGTTTTTTTAATACAAGTATGACTGCTTCTGTACACTATTAAAAATATATAGGAAAACACACACACCAGCGACCATTACCATCTATTGCGAAACGGGCTAATCTGGAAGCTCCCATTCTTTTAAACAAAGGATCCTTGACATGCAGAAGTGACACAGACTGCTGCATCAAATTATCTCCTTTAAAGGTCAAATATTAGAATATTGTCAGATAAAACCAGAAAGGCATTAACTTGAAGTAAAATCAACTAATTGGTTCGAGTCTATAATAATATGCATACCCAAGTATGGAAAGAACTGGTAACCAACAACTGTTGCCGTCCCAGCAAAGATCAATTTCAACACCCATCCTATTTTTCTTTCAGCCTCCTGTTCTAGGGATCGCTCATCTGGAAAGCAACGTAAGGCACACACAAAGAACTTGTCAGCAGTGGACAAAAAGAGCAACATAGCTGGGAAAACAAGTGTTTGTCCCAATAATATCAGGATTACATATATTTTTTGCTTGCTCATGATAGGAGAGAAAAAAATACGAATACCTCATATATTGAAAAGATACATCAACTATTTTTGGTACAGCAAAACAATATATATGTATCCGACTTAAAATACATAAATGAAAACATTCAAGCTAATATTCCACAAGCAAGTAACTGATAACGGAAAATCATCTGTCCTGATAGGCTACACACTGGCTTTTGTCAGCATTTTTCTGTTGACAAATTAAACTTTAATTGTAGTGTTGACTATATCTCATTGCTCTCTAACCCTTACAATGCTTCGATGGGTACGTGGAAACCCTTAGAAACTCATAAGTATGTGCAACATAAATCTCTTAGAAACTCAAGGATTCCATTTCCATTTTAATGACCTTTTAAAGCTAAAAATGCTTAGGTGCAAGGATTCTAGTGAAGGCAACTGTCATGATTTCTATAACCGTTCGCTACAATTTCAGGCAAAATACCCATTCAAGGTCAAGAATTTGAAAGTAAAATTAAATAAATAAATAAACTTAATTTTTGATAGCAAGTTCAAATATGCATTTTGATGCTTAGTTTCTTTTAAGTTTTGAACCATGTAAATTCATTGGCATATTAGCGTGTTTGATGCTGCTTTAGAGATCTATGATTTCTTCTTTGGCTCAACTATATAGAGATAGGTTTTTTTTTTTTCAATTACCTGGATTTTTCGCTGCAGTGCAAAAAAGGAAGAACTTGCAAAGAAGTTTATATATAAAACACAGAATCTAGAGAGGGCCAGCCAATAAAAGCTCGATAATACTACTAATAACAAAGAAAAAGAAAAAGAAAAATAAAAAAGTAAGCACGAAGTAAATCAAAAATGAAATGACCTCTTCCATGGTATGATGAACAGAAATTTCGAGATTGTGCACTCACTGGTTTTCTTCCGCAAAAATACTGCGTTCGAACAGTCACCACAACAACAACAAAAATTACATCAAATTAACAAATCAAAACAATTAAAAGGGGATGATAGTTCGATTGAAGCAAATCGAGGAATCATGAAACACACAGACCCAAAATATATAAATGGGTGTATATATATAGTAACAGACAACTAGGGTTTTGCAGAACTCTAATTGATGAAAGAAAGGTATGGGGAGAGAGAAGAGCCGAAGGGGAAGGCGCTTACAGTGGTAAGCTGTGACGCTAATGCACGCATCGTGCAAATGAGGACTGTGAAGCTTTCCTATGATGTTAACAAAGAAGCTCGGGAACGGGTATTGGATCGGATCTGGATCTGAAGCGAGGCATCATGAAGTGTTGAAAACTTAAACGAACTTGTAGCAAAAAATTTTACCCGGGGCCAAAATCCTAGAAAGTGCAAGAAAATTAAAAAAAAAAAATCAAATTTTCTTTTGTTTGATTAATTAGGAAGTAGAATTTTACAAGATATTTTTTTTTGCAAATGTCAAATTTTCCAATTAACATCTACTTTGATTTTCATAAATTATGCGAGAAAATATTTATTTTCCGTGAAAATTGTCTTATTTTTCTTGTTTTACTCGCTTACTCTTTTTTTTATTAGATTGATATGATAAAGATAATTTAGTACTTGTACCAATTTTTCTATATTTATCTAACAAACCTTTTATTCTAATCAAACGAATATAAGACAATAAATTTTCCTTTTTATTTCTTTTCTTTTCACTTTCTACCTTTTTTATTTTTCATTGTCAATTTCTTTCTAACCAAACGTAGTGGTTCATTGAATCTGGCATCTAATAATTCTTGAGATATGAGGTTTAATACTCCTCCTACCTCTTAAAAAAGTTATTCACTCTTGTTCCTCATGAGACATATTCTAGATCCTCGAGACTATGATAGCTAATATTCGACCTCAACAGAATAGTCGATACAAAAAAATATATGTTTAAAAATACAGAAAGTGTTCAAAGAGAGGGATTATTCGCATTTTCTTCCCTAAAAAATGTAAAAAATCTAAATTATACCTCAGACTTCTCCATTGCACCCTCATTTTTTTTTATTTTGCTTCTATTTACACATTTTTTTTCAATTTGCACTCTTAATTGAAAATTTAGAGCAATCAAGATTGAATACTGGAACAAATTTTAAAAAAGCGCAAATTATAACAAAAAATTAAAAATTGAGCAGTTAAAAACTGAAGGACGGGCAGGCGTTCAACGTGAAAACTTTAAATGAGGAAGAAATTTATATTTTAAAAATTGGAAAAATGATCGTAACATATCTTATATTCTTTCTTTTTCCTTTTTTACATAGAAAAGTCTGGATCACATCACATATACTTCAAGCATGATAATTTGTATTACATGATAAAACAAAGAAAAACTTCCCCAAACAAACCCCCCCCCCCCCCAAAAAAAAAAAAAAAGAAAAAAAGAAGTCTAAACTTAACGAAAAATTATTGTCATGTGATGAATACTAATTATAAATTTAAATATATTGAATTCGAATCTTAATTCCAGTGTAAATAATATACATTTAATCAGACTAAAAAAGAAATTAATCGAAAAACACGTACACTAAATCTAACATTCCTGACCGTTTGACCAAAAAAAAAAAGTACTAAAATCAATTGGAACACAATATAGCCCACGTAGTCATTTCATTTTCAGTGAGAGAAGAGTTTAAGGCTGAACTCATGCATGGCGGGGGGTGGTAATTACAACCAACCAAAAGTGGTGGTGGGCCGGGTGGCGGTAGGGTGGTGCCCCTTCTTCACGAGAAAATTCAGTTAAAATCGCTCTTTACTTGCACCTGCACATATTGAAGTATTGGGGAGTAATTTAGCAATAAACTTGCGCAACTACCATCACTCGGCCTCTGCTGTAGATTTCTAAGATTACCTTGAAAAATCCCTTGCATTGGCATGCAAATCCTAGACATGGAACATTGGTGTTTACCTTAAGGTTACAGACATTTAAGAGCTGAAATGTGTCACTAAAATGTAACTGTTTAACGCAGGTGTAATTCTAGAGATTGTGAGGGTAACATTTTCTGGATGCATAGGCGATCCATCTCAAACGATACAGGAACAAAAAACTATAAAACTAGCAGTGTAAATTTGGAGCAACACTACCAGTTATTAACTAGTACTGCTCTACCCAATAGTCACCATCAAAACAAAACTAGTACTACCAGAGACTTGTGGACGTTTTCCTGTAAATAAAAATATGCTTACAGATACCATTTGCCCCCATTATCCCACCCTTGAACACTAGGCAAAGTTGCAATATTTGTGGAGCTGAGAATTGGAAATCATATATAGACTTGGTAAACATGAAGCAGAGACAGATCTTCTAGGTCAGTAAAAAAGGCACGTTAACTGCTGCCAATATAGCTCGTGAACTTGAGTGTCATCGCATAGAGGCAATCCTGAATCTGGACACTGAAAACTAAGCAGCCAAGGTCAAAATTCCAGAGATGACCCTATTTCCTGCACAATTACACCACCATATGCCATACCATCAATAAATATACATTGAATAACACGCATGCAAACACAGATCCAAATAAAGAGCGACCCCCCCCACCCCCCCAAAAAAAAAAATCATCTTTTTCCCTTTTCTGTATCCCTTGGGGAAGATATTCCTAATTTCTAACCAATTCTGCCAGCCATTCCAACCAAATGGCAAGTGGAACTATCTTTATTAACTCCCTAGGTTGGTTCATTTCAGAAACCTTTTGATAACTCTGCACAACATGCACTATTCATTGTTCATTAAAATTGAACGGCCTGCAAGATGATAGAAGCCTAGTTCATGTTGTGCGGAGAAAAAAGTTACAACATTGGGAGACATGGACCATTTGCTTGACAGATCATGATATGATTGAAGTTGAAGAAAAATAATGAAGAAGATTTAATGCAGATTCAGAAAATTTATAGAGGCCTCTAGATTTTCTACGTTAAGTTAAATCTTGAGAATTAACTACACGTGGTTTTTGTGATTATAGTTGTCCAAAATGAATTTTGCAATAACACAGTATTTCTCAATTTCCATCTAGGAGAAATATAACTAAACACTTCAAATTTCATAAGAATTAAACACTCCATTAGCAAATCTGCAATACAGGTAGTCATATTACAGAGTTGAAAAATGGAAGAGCAATTCAACGAACCTGCAGCTCTTAGATGTTGGGACAATCAATCCTCTTTTCTCCAAGCTCTTAAAGCGGTCCCTTGCAAGGGTGCAACATCCCTTTTTGAAATTAAAGAAAACAGTGAACTTCAATGCTTAAGTTCTTAACATAAAACACTAAACTGTATACCCAATTCTAAAACTTGTTTACAGAGGGAAAACAATAAATAAAATGGCAAACCTTCAGCTTACGGAGGGAACCAGTGATTTCTTCAGATAACAGGACTTGAAGAGGGGCAGGCTGAAATCTGGAAACAAAAATCCAGTTAATGATCTCGTTGCTAAAAATCATAATTGCGGTGAAACTAAGAACCGATAACAAAATCGGTAATAGTTTCCATTCAAAAAGAGACAGGTGGCACCTTATTTTCAGCCCACACCATATGGAATCACCAAAAATCTCAATTTAAATGAGATGGTATGAATGCATGTAATCTAAGTATCTCATAAGTGAAGTTTTAAAACTAAATGCAATAGGATTACCTTTTCACATCGAAACCAAAAACTGAAAACATGACTATTTATATTTGGAATTGAACCATTTCAATATCAAAACAATTGAAAAAAAAGTTATTTATCTTATACATTTTGTGAGAACTATACATACTTGTGCTTCCCCAGTCGTGGTGGACGAGATCTCAATCTTTCTTGTTTAGCAACAATACGGCGAAGGTGTCTTTTATGCTTCTCATCATCCTCCTTGGCTATTTCTTGGACTATATCTGGTAAGCTGTATAGCCAGGAGATTGACTCATCATTCAGAAAGAAAACAAAAGTAAAAGGAAAAAAGAAAAGAAAAGGCAAAATTCCTTCAACTGAAAGGAATACTTATAAAAGCAGATGCATTGGTTTACCTATCAATTTCTTTGGACAATTCCTCCACTTTTTTTGCTTCTGCTTCTGCCCTCAACTGTTCTTTACGTCTAGCCCTCCTATTCAGCTCCACCCGATTTACCCTTTTGATTTTATTGGGCCTGTAGAATTATTAATAACAAAGTATGAAACTCACATGCCAAGTGCTGTACAAAATTGAAACGTCATCTCTAGCATTCATGAGATTACTATCAACCAAATATGCAGGCCACATTCAGGCTTAAGAAACTTACTACCCAGGCTGAGCCAGGCCAAGCTGTCTATCAAGGTTCGTAATATCGGCTGAGTCAAATACCACTTGGCCAAGTCACCGAGTTGTATCCAACTCAGCCATCACCGATCCGATACCACTACACGGTACGCTAATAACACGACTCAAGCAAATCGGCGTTGACTCAGTCACGACTCGGAGATATCAGTTGAAATCGGAGTGGTATAGTTTAAGACGGACTGAGTCATCAACAGATCAATGTAAAATACCAGAAAAAAAAAAAGAAGGGGAGGAGAAGAAGACCAATTCCACATGCAGATTCATAGGCCCAAAGATGCAGTAACCAAAGTAGAAGAAATCAACAAACCCTAAAACAGAAATTAAAAGGATTTGCAGAAAAACCTGTAGATCCTGTGCATACAGCGAACCAAATCCAGTCCAGTCCACCCAAAGTCTCCCTCTCTCATTCTCTGTCTCTCTCGCTCTCGTTTTGCGCCTCTCTCTTTCTCACGCTCTCATTTTGCCTCTCTCTCTTTCTCGCTCTCTCGTTTCGTTCATCGTTGCCTGAGTAAGAGCGACTGTAGATACTGTACATATACTTTTTTCCTTTTTTTTTGGTTTAGTCAGAACCTCTCTTGTAATATTAATTACACTTACAACCCCTCTTTTTTCTTTCTCCTTCAAACGACAAAAAGGCTCGAAAAATATATATATATTTTTTTGGTTTTTTTTTTTGTCCCTCTCCAATGGTCCCAATGCTTTTGCATATGTTTCCTTTGTACATTGCTCATAAATGATGACAAATTTTTTTTGTAGTGCCTTTATTTTTCTTTTTTTGTAATGATTAATATGTTAAATAATGTATTTTGGGAATATGATGTATGGATGATGATATTTACATTTATTACAATTTTTCTTGATTTTTTTCAAAAAAAATTTGAGCCTTCTACGTAGCGTTTTGAGCGTATCGGCCAATACTGCGCCACGACGCTGCAACCGATGTGTCACAGTGGCCTTT